ACAGCAGGATGACCATGAGCCAGCAATGTTGGGGCCAGCCAAGAAGGCCAATGGCATCCTGGGGTGTATCAGGAGGGGGGTGGTGAGTAGGTCGAGAGAGGTTCTCCTCCCCCTCTACTCTGCCCTGGTGAGACCGCATCTGGAATATTGTGTCCAGTTCTGGGCCTCTCAGTTCAAGAAGGACAGGGAACTGCTGGAGAGAGTCCAGCGTAGGGCTACAAAGATGATCAAGGGAGTGGAGCATCTCCCTTATGAGGAGCGGCTGAGGGAGCTGGGTCTCTTTAGTTTGCAGAAGAGGAGACTGAGGGGAGACCTCATTCATGTTTATAAATATTTAAAGGGTGAGTGTCACGAGGGTGGAGCCAGGCTCTTCTCGGTGACAAACAATGATAAGACAAGGGGTAACGGACACAAGCTGGAACACAGGAGGTTCCACTTAAATTTGAGAAGAAACTTCTTCTCAGTGAGGGTGACAGAGCACTGGACCAGGCTGCCCAGAGAGGTTGTGGAGTCTCCTTCTCTGGAGACATTCAAAACCCGCCTGGACGCCTTCCTGTGTAACCTCATCTGGGTGTTCCTGCTCCGGCAGGGGGATTGGACTGGATGAGCTTTTGAGGTCCCTTCCAATCCCTGACGTTCTGTGATTCTGTGACAAGGGGCTATGGGCTGTGCTTTTGAGTCCCTTGGGCTTTTGTTCACGATTAGAGTTGCCCATTGAAACCCACCTCGAAGATAGACTTGTGAATTGTCATCCACCCAAAAATGAAGTGTGGGCATTGTTAAAAAGCAAATTTCTTTTTGGGAATTGGGACATGCTTTATGTTTGCTTGCTTAGATTTTTATCAAAAGACCGGTGAGGAGTGCTTTTGTTGCTTAATTTCATCTTTAATGATGAAAATGCAATTTTTTAATTGCTTGTCTCCTGTTTCTCTCTTTAGGCTGTCTCTGCTTCAGGAAAGAAGAAGAATTCTGGCAGAAGCACTTCAATGAAGCACAGACTGGCTTTGTTGGCTGATCACGACAATGACACGCCACGGACTATAATCAGGCGAATCATCCACACCCGTAAGTATCTTTTTTTCAGGAAAGCAGAGAACAGAAGGATGATGTTTTGGTGGAGCTGAGAACAGGAGGTGTTCTTTTGTGACCTGTTGTTCTTACCCTGTTAATGTGGAACAGAAAACCAGGCCATTGTATGCCTGATTTCTGTAAAAGAGGAGTCGCTGCAGTGGCAGCTGACCAACGTCATGCAATGCAGCTCTCTCAAAAACCAGGTCTTGCACTGATGCAAAGATATTCTTGAAAATCCTCTTCCCTCTTGTCCTGGTGAGCAAGCACTTCATACTGGTGCTGCCTTTAGCTGTAGGATCGTGTGTCAATGGCTGAGGCACATGCTGTTGTTTGTCACTGTTCCAAGGAGTAGAGCACAAATAGTTTTCACCAGTTCTTTATTTTAACCTGTTAGTAAATGTAATTTACAGAATGTAGTATATATTTGACACTGCTGTATTTTGGCGTTCTTGCTGGATTAAATTACGGAAATGTTTTGGTTTGTTGACAGAACCACAAGTTTCACCTGTGGCACTTGAGATATCTCAACATGAAGAAACGAAAGAAGCTCAATCAGAACCCCCATCTAAGAGGACTTCCAGCACGTAAGTAATCTTTTAAACTTTATTTTTCACACTACCAGGTACAGCTGCAGTTTCTGTGATGGGATTGAGGAGCAGGATTTCTTTACCTCTATTTCGATGATCAGAGTTGCATTCTCTGAGATGAGATTTTTAGAAATACCTCTCCAGATTTAAAAATAGCATAGGAACTGCTGGCACTGGGGGACTGAACAGTATATACTGAAGGTTTGTGCTTAGTCCCCTTTTTTAAATGCAGACTTCTACTATCTTTTTGCAGTGGGAGTGTTGAATATGAGAAGTCTCCTGATGGAAGCCTACTTTTCTTAGTTGTCTGCAGCATACTAAAGTAGTTCTTGCATCTCCCCAAGGCTACAGGCCATGTACTGATGATGCTGAGGTGTAATGAGTGACTACTGTGTCTTCTGTTCAGAATGCAGGCCGCTGTAGCTTTTTACAGCGTTACTGCTTCTTGTTTGGCCTTGTTTAGGGCTGCCAGGCGTTACTTCCTTCACATGGAGTGGTTTGGAGGTGGGGTTTGCTTGAGGCTTAGCTGTTATTATTCATGTTTTGCTTCCATTAATAGTTTAAGTTAACGGGCCTGACTGAATTGGAGAGGCTGAAGTGTGGTTTGCTTACTTCCACTTTGTTGTGAAATAGAAGAAAATCAGTAGTGGTGGTAGGTCTTAATTTGATTTAGAAGCTTTGTCACAACACTGATGTGGTTTTGTTTACTGCAAAATAGGATAGACTTCTAAATAATGTGATTTCTCTTGATTTGTTTTTATAGCTAAACTTTTTGCATTTTATGTAGGCAGCAGGTCACCTAAAACTTTAGGTAAAGTTATGTCTGTGTTTTTCTTGGTAGAGGAAGAAAAATCTGAGTTTTCTGTAAGTGTGGTAGCTTGTGGGTTTTTGTTTTTTTTAATTAAGAAAGATGAGGAATATTGTTCTTCTTCTTGATTTTGCCTGCTGTAGTTCTTTAACATTTCTGAATGTGATTCTCGTCAGCCTGTCTTAAATGTAAAAAATAGAAAATTTGGATCTTTGCACCTAATATATTCCACATATTAGCTAGTTGTTGAAGTTAAACAGTTATAGACCTTTTAACATTATTTCTTTTTTTTTTTTTAATAAGTCTTTTTTAAAAAAATTCCATCACAGCCTTCCATTACTTGATGTAAATTTTCTTGACTTTGGACTGACACTGCTTTCCCTAGTTGTAATGGCATCTTCCAGGATAGATGCAAACAATGAGGAATCTCTTTTCCCTGGCTGTTTTACATTTGTTCCCCATTACAAGTCAGTTAATTCTAATGTTCAGGCTTACATTATGCTCACATGAAATGAAACTTAGACACCTTCCTGACTGGTAAAGAATGTATTTTGTAAGGTAAAAAGGCCCTAAACACGATCACCAGACCATTCTTGCTATGGTGAAGTCATATTTGTTGCAGCAAAGGGTACAGAACGCTATGTCTGCTGAATGCGGATCCTTGGCTGCAGGAGGGGTGCTCTGCTCTAATTCTGCAGGTCACAGTGTGGAGTGCTGGCAGCAGCTCGCTGCCTGAACGTGACCTTCATGAGGGGATCGGCGCTCTTCAGTAAAGAGGGAAAATGACTCAAACTTATTTTTCTGATGCTGATCCAGTGCCTGACTGGGGCATTGTGTCTGTTCTGTGTAGGAGTGTGCTTTGTGGTACCTAATGTTGTTTCACGATGATGGCATTTTCTTTTACACTGTAACAGCTGGCAAACCTAATTGCTGTTGTGTGCTTGGAGAACTCTGAAGCATGTTGGAAGTCCAAACTTTTACTCTAGTCTGACCTTTCTCAGCCCTGTTGATTTGAATATATGTTCAAGTTTTGATTCTCTTTATGAAAGTTACTTTGATTCAGTAGGAGGGAATGACACATTCCTGCATTTGCTTAACCAATCATGGATTAGTTCCTCGCTCCTGCTGCAGCAAGGACAAATAGTTTTTAATTTCAGCAGCTTTACAGGGACCTTTCTAGGGTAGTGAAGTCCTTCGTTAAACACTTGGTTTGTATTGGTAGGGTGGAAGTGCAACTGCCAGACCTTCCTCCTGAGGAGACTTCTGTCACCACATTCCGTATGACTAGGAAGAGAAAGAAACTCAGCATTTCTGAATTTGAGAGAGCAGCAGACAAACAACTTCCCCAGAACCAAGGTAAGGCCAAAGTAAAAAATTACTTTGTTCGGTGCTGTATTTGCTGTCATTTTCATCTCCTGCAGTTTAGTTCTCAGCTGGGCAGTTGCATCTTTGGAAGCAAGACTGCTGTATCTTGTGCAAAAGGAATAGTGGAGAAAGTAAAAGCCCCTCCTATCAAATTTAAAAGAAACCTTTTTGAGCCAAGTTACAGGCTCTACCCTGAGTGTGTATAACTTCTTGAGTATTTTCCCAACTTGGTGCTCTTCGGGTTTTGCGGTGTCTCCAAAGGAAGCAATCCCTCTCTTCCCCTCAAATATGGAAACTTGAAAATAGAACAAGCTGCATGCTTTTTGTTGTGTTCATGTCAGATAAGTTATAATGTTCTTGTTTGAGGAAAAAAAGGGTCTTGTCGTTTTTTAAAATAAATAATATTTATGTTGGAATAAGCATTCCGCTTAAACATCAATTTGCAAATTTGGCAAATAAAACTTTCACTTTAGTTGCAGTTTAACAGAGGCAGATAAAACACTCCACCTTGCTTTACATACCCCATTGGCAGTAGCAGCTGAAGTAGAATTCAAGGGTGGAATTCAGCTCCAAATTACAGACCCTGGTACCTCAGCTTTGTATTAGGGATGCTCTGTGCCTGTGTGTACACTGTGTAACTGAAGCCCTCTCCTTTAGGGGAGCTCTAGTCAGTGGAGTCAAAAGCGTGATTCAGCTCACCCTAAAGTAGACACCTACATTTGATTAACCGTGCTTGACACAGCCACCTGTGTTTGGATATTTTAATCTGGAACTGAATCCCACCCTGACTCACCTTTGGCCAAAAAATGGACTTGTCTGTCTTTAGCGTGATCCCTGTTCTGAATACTTTCTGATAAGATATGAGGTCTCTGTAAAAACGGAGGGGACATGCTCTAGTATTTTCTAGTATGAGCATGATTATGCCCAGATCTGTTTTTGGGACTTTGTGAGTAGAACAAGTTTGAGTTACAGTTTCGCCAACAGCTGTGGAGTAGTATCTGTGCTTCTAAAGCTTCGGGATGCTTTAATGTTTGGTTTGGGTTGCTGAAGGGTGGTTGTCACTGAGGCCCTATCCTAGCATCTTGCTTTTAATGTTTTAAGATTAATACTGTTGAGTGTGGGGGCATGTGCCATATTAAATTTTCTTCAAGATACCTGTTTTATTGCCCTTTCAGAAGTTGCTTATTAGAATTCTAATACACAGTTCTGAAACAGACCAAAAATTGTAAAGAGAATGTGTCATTTATTTCTGTTCTCACCAAACTGAATCTTGAGAGTTGTAGCATAATTTGCCCTGGAAAGAGGAAGATCCACACCAGGCTATAGGAACACCCCAATGTAGGGGATAATTTCTTAGCTAATTGTGTCAATTTTTTTTCCAGCTCAGTCAGCATTGGACAGCACTACTTTGACTCGGTGAGTTTAAACTAAAATGTCTTGCCTTGATTCATCACCTCTGTGGTTGTGAAGGACAGTATAGGTACCTGGGTTTGTGGTTGAGACCTGTGTTAGTAATAACTTGATCATCTCCCACACTGGTGATGGAACTTGAAGGTGTTACACTGAATACCTTGTGATTCTCAGAAGTGCCCAGGTTGATCTAGTTTGTGTTGCTACTATTACTCATTTTTTTGCTTATTGGGATAATAAGGAAATTTTTTCCTTTCATTCTCATGTTTCCAACAGTAAACCATTACACAATATACTTTAGAATATTATCTCTGCCTGTTAATTGACTCATCACATCAGCTGCATCTATGCAGTCTGTAATCCAACTTTCCTGGACTAAAAGCTCTTTAGCAAGTCAAAGAACTTCTTTTCCTGTGTTCCCTGTGTATTTTGCTAATGATCCTAGCCACGGTTAGCAATTTATTTCACCTTATTGCAGTCCTTGCCTGTGCAAGGTGATTCATAGGGCTGCATTCTGTACTTCCTATCTTTGAATTCTCTCAACCCTGTTTTTGATTGGGCTGCTTAGAAACAGGGACAGGAGGTAGCAGAGCATGGCCAGTATCTTTAGGATACAAAATATGTGCAGTGAGATACATCTTTTCCCATGCTTTGCATGAATCTAAGCTCCCACCTCAAAAAAAGTTAGTGTGTTGGTAGCTGTACTTCACTGTGAGTACCGATACTAAGCAGCTTTTTAGGCTTGTTTTGAAGTCCTCCTACCACCCTGCTGTGATCTAGAGGACATATTTACTCTCAAATGTTTGTTTTTGCTTTTTTATTATTTTAAATTTTCAAAATTCCTGAACCTTTTGTTAGATATATTGTTGCAGTACAACAATCTTGTAGTAGGAGGTTGTAAAGCAGTTTGGTTCCTGATTTCTGTGATACGTACCCTGGTGTTGGGTCATACCATGAAATGAAACTATTTGTTTAAAGTAGGCTGGCATGTAATCTTCAAGTTTTTTGGGGGAGAAATTCCTCCTAGCTAAGGGATTTGTGAAATGTCTCACTTAGTGGCACCATATCTGTAATCTGAGGCTAAAAGGGGAGCGTGTAAATTTGGAAGATTATTTCTTCCCTGTTCTTTTTACAGATCTGTTCGCATGTCTTTTGGTTCCTTGATCCCACCAGACACTGTTGAAAGGAGAGGCTTGCTCCGGAGGCCAAAAAATCGCAAACCTATTGACATAGAAGCTTTTGAAGACGGAGTGAAACAGAACATGCTGAAGAGAAAAGGTTTCCCATGTGTTGTCTCTTCCAATTTGGGGGTGGGGGACGGCCTTATATAAGGTGATTTTTAGAAGTGGTTTCTGAAGTGTGATCTGTGTTTTACGATTTAAAGATTACGGGCATGTTTACAGAAATCAGTGTAATTTAGGAAGCAAGATTTGACTGAGGCTCTGCGTCAGTAATTGCTTTAATTCTGTGCACTTAAATTTGTGCCCCACCCAGTTTCATTTATACCACATGAATTGTCTGGGATAGCGCTCATAACTATGGGTACTGGGGAGGTGGTTTGGTGGAGACTAAAGTTAGGAGCACTGAAATGTGGTGATACAGTTTCAGTGTTTGATTTATGGAGAATGAATAAAATTCGATTGAATTACATAAATTTTGAATTAGACAAGTCCTGGTAATAAATGTGTCCCTATGATCCTGAACATTTTTTTCACATAAAACTTGTTCTAAAACTTCATCTAAACAGCACGGAACTATCTTGTGGACTCACATACAGCATCTGGGACTCAAACAGCCATCCTGACAAGTGATGCAGAAGTCATGCTGAGTAACACGGAGCTCTTTGTTCAGCCTCAGTTTGATGAACAGAGCCAAAATAAGCTTTCTGCTCTTGAACCACCGCTATCGAGTACAAAAACTCCAGCACAGAGAAGCAAGATTTCTCATGCAGCTCAAGAAGAAGCAAGGCCGGTAGGCCTGGTATCCAGTGTGGACACAAATGAGGGAAAGATTCAAAGATTTTCTGAAAACTTAATCCTTGATCGTGAGCACGTTGGCAGAATGACTCCAAAAACACCTGCAAACCAGCGAGAAGATAAGCAAGATCATTCTTATCGAAGTAACTCAGTGAAACAGCTTTCTGGTTCAGAGGAGATGGTGATTGGCAGTGAGTACTGTGGGTTAGGATGTGGGGCTTAGCAGGTATTATCTGAAATCACAGACTGGTTGAGGTAGGAAGTCACCTTTGGAGGTCATCTTCTCCAACCCCCGTACCCAAGCAGGGTGACCTAGAGTAGGGTGCCCACACCTGTGTCCAGGTGGTTTTTACGTGTCTCCAGGAATGGAGACTGCAAACTAGGCAACGCGTTCCAGTGCTCGGTCACCCTCACAGCGAAAAAGTGTTTTCTGACGTTTAGACAGAGCCTCCTGTGTTCCAGTCTGTGCCCGTTGCCTCTTCTCCTGGCACTGGACACCACTAAAAAGAGCCTGGATCCATCTGCACCCTCCCTTCAGATACTTGCTTATATTGATGAGATCCTCTCTGAGCCTTCTCCAGGCTGAACAGTCCCAGCTCTTTCAGGCTTTCCTCCTAGGAGAGATGCTCCAGGCCCTTAATTGTCCTGGTGGCTCTTTGCTGGACTCTCCAGTATGTCCATCTCTCTTTTGAACTGGGAAGCCCAGAAGTGGACACTGTAAATTGGTCACTTTCAATGAAGTATGGACAGCTAGTTTCTTTTTCATTTAGGTTTTTTTTTTATATGATCCTTTGTCAGCAGAGCCACAGAGATGGTATTTAAAGAGTGGTTGGTGTATTCAGTACTGCTCAAGCCAGGAGAAGAGTTCTTGCTGTGGAAAGCTTAGAAATTAATCCCCGGTGTCCTGGGTGGCTGTTGCACTATACTCTGCTTCTGGAGGGTTGCCTGTGGCAAGCCTGGTGAGAAAAATCGTACAAGTACAAGGGAAGAGATGAACAGAAAAGTTTTTTGCTCTGAACAGCCCAATGGCAGGCACTGTTAGGACAAATGGATAGATAACGTGGGGAAGAGTGTGGAGGGCATGGAACAGGGGACTGGATCAAATGGGAGAAAAGGGAGGGGGAGTGAGGGTATATCTTAAAGTTGCTGGAGTTTGTAAGGTGTGAGAAGTTAATGGTTACATAGTTCTGCTCTTTTACCAAAGGTAGGTGATGTCAGCGTTGCTTCTCAGTGCGAACTGAAAAATAGTTGTAAGGACTTTACCCGCTGGTTCCTAAGCTACAATGTTGGGCAGGGAAGAATTTAATGAAATA